GAGCCTTAGCCTTTCCAACTTTTTCTCTGAAATTCAAAAAAAAAAAAATCACCTGTCCACAGCCAACGTAATTTTTGTACCTCAACAAGCAAAATCATTCAGTTCAAACCCAATTTGCGAACATGGAACTAGTAATCAAGCTTTTTCTTTACATAAGATACGCTAATGAACGAATAGGAAATATTGTTCTGTCGAAAAGTTCACCGATGTTATTCTGTCCTGTCTATTTCGAAGTCAACGAGTTGAGCCAACAGGAGAATTAATTGAGAAGACTAACAACACAACCGTTGCTTGAATCTCCGTGGCAACAGAGAAATGTTTCGTCAGGATAAAAAAAACCACCTGCGGAAATTATATCGAATCTTTCCGTCGTTTTCATTTTTCAATTGTATACTTCCGTCTAGAAAGTATGAACCCATTTCTAGTGGCATTGATCGACATCATTTTCGCGTGGTATCTAGTCAACATCTATATAACAACTTTTCTATACTCTGCTTTATATTTTCTAACACCACCATTTTATATTTATGTTCATAGATCTAATCGGGAGAAAGAACAGAAGGTAATTATCATAGTGCCATGAGAAATATATTGGAAATCGAACGGATTTGTCCCGCTTTGATTCCGTTCAATTTGATCCGGCCGGTTTGGATGGATTGAGCCCGTTCGCCGTGATTAAACCTGCTATATTTTGGTACAGCTCAAGCTGGTTCAAACCCGGCTTGTTCTAATACGGGGAGCACCGATGACTTATCGTTGCAAAACTCCACACTAGGGTCTCCATCTGGGTGAAATTTTTTCCACCCGCGCCCGCCCGTTTGGTTAATCGTGAGGGCGAAAGTTTGTCCGGGCGGGTAACGGGTGCCCGCAGTTTTTTTTTTTTGCCCATGTGAAGAGCCTATTCCACGCCCAACGTACTGGGGGATTTTGTGTTGTGAGCAAGCCATAACATTGTAAAACATTTTAGATTGCAATATTCCCAATCATCAATCATTTCTATAGAACAATATTGATTTCTTATATTTACGTTTCTGTTTTTTATTGTTGTGATTGGTTCGAAATCCTTACGAATAATCAATTCCCAAGTATTGTTTTTTGGATAGACACAGTTTTTTGTGAAACAGTGAAAGACATTTTCTATGCACTTTTCGATGTCCACGAGATTATTCTTTCTTTATTGGCTGTCCAAAAGTTTCTTATATATTTCCATCCATCAATTGAATCTAAAATAAGTTACAAAGGAAGAGGAATCAATTTTATATTGATATTGATTTATGTAGCTTACTATGCCAAAATCGCTTTAATTCATATGATTTTTATTGGTGAATATGACGATTATACCCGGTTCTATGTGGTAGGTACTTCAATCGATAGACTCAACAACACACTGTTTCATGCGCTTCCAAAGTTGTTTTATTTCAGATTGAGCACCTCGTCTTATCTGGAATAACAATGACCTCTTCACTATTCTATCTCCCGATATTAAAACACATCAAAAAGCATTCCCATCTACAGTCAGTTATAAAAAAGAAACCCGATAGATACATTCTGATACAGACTTATTCTATTGTAGTGACCAAATTTGTGAGCTTCCAGAACTTTTTTTCGAAATCAAAAATTATTTTAATACCAGATAACACTCCTGCATTATTTGGTTCTACACTTACACATGACCAAAGATGGTGTTACATTTGATGTGAGCAGTTTTCATAACCATATTCCAATTGATATTTTCAGAGCATTGACATTTACACTATTCATGCTTATAGCATGGTGTCTATTCCAGTTTTGATTCAAGTGTCATATTTGGTGTCCAATCAGAACAACATTAAGAAATTGCAAAAGATCAAAATATTAAGAAGAATATTTTGCTGTAAAAAAGAAGGAAGAACAGAGCCATTACGATTTCATAACGATGTTACAAGTACACTTGCTTCATGATGCATTGTTACAAGTACACGGACCGTTTCTGGAACAGTGTGGATATTTTTAACCTATCGTTTTTTTTTAAGTTGATATCATGAATTTTATATTCTTTGTTCCTAATAATAAACAAAAACACTCAAAAATGACTGCAGTGCAAAACAATTCGTCAAGGACGTCTGGGTCTTCATATAGGTCAAGTAGACGATCTACCTTTCCCACATCTTTTATAGGTCTTGAGTGTGCATAACGGGCGTGCTTCCGTGGCGCAATAGGCAGCGCGTTCGGCTGTTAACCGAAAGGTTGGTGGTTCGAGCCCACCCGGGAGCGAAACTTTTTTTTACTATTTTTTCTTTGCTTGTTTTTTCTTGAATAATTTTTTTGTTTTTAGCTTCTTTTTTGAAAAAAGTTTTTCATTTTTTTGAATTTGTTCCACTATTGATACATTCTAAAATAATCAATTTCAATTTTTCTATTTTTTTCCACCAAAAATTTTAGCGATAGATCAAATTATCATCAACTATGTTTTTGATCTACTCCTATGGCACAACAACAAATTCGAGACTCCCCTTTGCCTTGTTATCGATCTTTTTCCTCCCTTTTTCTTTTCTTTTTCATTCAATTTTTGAATTTTTTTCGCTTTTTTTCAATTATATTTTTCCTGATTTTCCCTTTCTTTTTTTCAGCCAAGTCTCTAATAATGTCCCAACTAATAAAATGTCTTTATTGTCCTCAATCGACCACTTTCTACCGATTCGCGAAACAATTGGAAGCCCATATAGCTGCAGTTCATCTCAATTTGTTCCAGTACAAGTGAGTTTTCATCTGGACATACAGATATACAGACAGACATATTTCAGATGTCAATTGTGCAAGTTCATGTGGCTACCAACGGAATATGCACTAATGAAACATTATTCCGATGTTCATGAAATCGTTAGCGGCATTCCGGTGAGAATATCTAAGTTTGGAGTGGATGAGGATTGATTTTTCAGTTCAATGCTTGTAAAGAATCCGATTGTAAAACCGATAAACTGAACGAATTGAAGGAGAAATTGAAGAGGTGCATTGAGGTCAGCCAAGTGTTGGATAACCGGAACAAGAGTCAACTAGGTAAGATATTCTGAGCAATTGTCAACTCATTAGAATCATAGACTTTCAGAATTAACGCCATGTGATAGTGTGAAGTGTCAGGACTACTCACTACAGTTCAACAATAAGGAGTGGCTTGAAGCACACATTGCATCAGTCCATCTCCATTCAATGCCTTATAGGTGAGTAGAGTTGAGAACAGACATCCGGACAAACCGACAACATTGCAGATGCGAATTATGCGAGAACACATGTTTTCCGACAAAGTACACATTGAAACGGCACTATAACTATGATCATGGAAAATCGAACTTTGAGGTGAGCTACAAAATCAGAGTGACCAGAAGGAAAGAATTCTTCCAGACTACCTTCAATTTCTCACCGAAAGTCGTCAAGGAACGAGAAGAACTGGCGAAGAAAGTGGAAATATGCATGAGTAAGAGGGAAATTGGAATGGAAGTGAACCTGGAAGCGAAGCAATTGGGATCAACAGCTCCTCAGACAGATCTTCCCGTGACTACTGAAGCCAATGTTCCAGAACCTCAACCAGAGAATTTGACGGTGAAAGTGAAACCATCAGGCTCTTCATCAAATGTGCATGAAGTTCAGACTGAGTCTTCTGAAATTCCGACGAGACCTGACTACTCAGGAACATCGACTACACCAGTATCACAAAGTGATTCCATGCGGCATCAACAAAACGGTCATGCAAATGTGACAACTGGAGCCACGACAAATATTCCAGGACCTCAACCATCGCCGTTGGTCCCTCCAGGTTTTACTGACAGATGCCTTCTTCCGGGCACGTCGAATCCGCCTGAATACCGGACTGAGTATTCTGGGATTTTATCTTTGCTGACGGGACCTTTTTATGTTGACCCAACGAATACTTCAGTATATCAAGATGATTCCATGCAGTACCAACAAAACGGTTATCCAAATGGATACCAAACAGAGAATCCAATGATGGCAATGGAACAGCAATTCTCGTCTATGCATCCATATGGTCCTCCAGGTCCATCTGGTGGTCAAAATGAGTCTTTTGGATTTCCAGCCCAACAAGTATCTCTGCCAATTGAACCTTATTATGTTGGACCAACGCATGCTCCAGTATATGAAGATAGTTCCATGCAGTATCAACAGAATGTTTATCCAAATGTGCCAAATGGATACGAAGGAGAGAACCCAATGATGCCAATGGAACAACCAGTCCTGCCGATGTATCAATACGATCAACCTCGATTACGGCCGGGCGTTTATTCTGTGGTCGGACCACTGTGTCCCCCGGGATTTCAAGATGTTCCCATGCAATATCCAGGGACAACTGGAGCGAATGTTCCCGTTTACCTACCAGAGATCCAAGCTACACTAACCCTGGTGAACCCTGTCGAATGATCAGCACTGTGCCCGTGTGGTCATCCATCAGATCTACTATGAAATTAATTACTGATAATAGAGTGAATTTGCATAATAAGACATTGGAAGGTCTATAATTGTTTATCTTGTTTTTATTCTTTACTGTATTTTTGCAATTTGTACAATGAGCACTAATAATAAATATTTGTCTATTTTTAGTAAACTTTTACTCATTTCTCGACATTGTGCGATTCCTAATAAGACTGGGACCTATCCTTTATCGTGCTTCCGACGGCGAGCCAACGGAGAACCAACAGCAGGCGAACAGCCGCAGGTTGGCGAACGGCGGAACAACGGCAGGTGAACGGCCGCAGGTTGCCGAATGGCGGGCCAACGGCAGCTGGCGGCCGCAGGTGGACGAACGGCGGCTCAATGGCGGACGAACATTGTATTTGTAAACCGATGTAAACTGAGAAATTTCGGAATATTTCTCTGTATTTTGAAGCGTAGGATGTTAAGACTTATCACATGTTCATTATTATCTCAATTGGCATTAAATTTTGGTTCTGGGTAGCTTAACGGCAGCCCAACGGCGGCTCGCAGGTGGTCCGCCGTTGGTTCTCCCTTGGGCTGCCGTTGGGGCTTAGCGCTTTACTTAGGCAGCGCGTTCGGCTGTTAACCGGAAGCTTGGTGGTTCGAGCCCACCCGGGAGCGAAACCTTTTTTTTTATTCTTCCATGATTTTGATTTTGCATTTTTTAATATCGGTTTTTTTAAATTGATACATTTTCATTGAAAAAGAATTTTTTTTTACAAACAAATGGTCAGTTAGCCTAGTTTATTAGCAGTTCAAGAATTGATAGTAGTTTCCATTAAATCAATATAACTGATTGGTTGAACAGTACTGGTTTTGAACCAACAAGGAAATAAAGATTTGAAAAACTTCTTAACGGAAAGAAGTTCTTTCACCTTATCAATATTCTTTTGACTACTCAATAAATAAGAAATTTGAATAAGAACTGGCGTTGAATTATTATCCAATTCTCGAAAATGAACAAAAGTATTAGTCTGTAAATATTCAGGATTTGAATGTTCTCTTGGAGAAATGATCGCCTACTTTGTCCTCCAATGTTTCAACATCTCGATACGTAGAAGAGATATAGAATCTTATTGTTGCCTAGAAAACTACTAAATCGAATTAAATACTTTTTTTTCCAAACTCACAACTTTTAAAATAATGATCAAGCCTGTCTGAATTAACACATATAGATCCGGCCGATTCTTCACAACTGATATTAAATGAGACCGCTTTTTAATACTTATTAGTATTGGAATGTATAAAAATGATGAAGATGTGAGCAAGCCAATTATAATAACTAGGTCAATCTGAACTTTCGGTGGTTATTTTAATAAATTATTTAAAATTATTTATTTATTTAAAAATGGAAATAGAAACAAACTTACTGTCATAACGTCGATTAATGTATGTTTACAATTAGAACTGTCGTTGTCCCAAGAAATGTATAAATAAATCAAATGTTTTACCAGAACTATCAGATAAATGCAAAATAAAATCCGATACACCGCTTTCTTAGAGAGATTCAAATATGATTCAAAGTTTTGAAAAAAGTATAGACAAAACTTTTGGATTGCCGATAGCATAATTATTATATGGTGAGCGTTGGTCATTGTTACGGAAATTTGAAAAAAAACTGAATGCGCTATATAAAAAATTAGAGAATCATTCCGGAATAATTGGAAAACTAAAGTCAGTGGGTATAATACATAAGAGAAACAAACTGCATAATATAGATGATTGATCAATGGGTAAATTGATGTCTGAAGCTTTGATTCTATGAATAAAATCTTAAAAATCTTACTCACCTTCTTATCATTTTCTTTGTTGGAACGAGATACAATTATGAAAAACGGAAAAACAGTGATCAATAGGATTTGAATAGAAAAAAGTGTTATTACTTGGTTGATGAGCGAGAATACACCAACTATTGTGAAGAAATCAAAACGAGGATATTCTTCTATCGTTGAATTTTCATATGAATACATTTTTTTTCAACTTTTTGATTCAGACGAATTTCGCAGCCAAGTATTTTGAATAGAATGCTTTCTAGTTTGAAAAAATCTACTCTGAAAAACATGAGTCAAAAAGCAGGTGGTTCTAAATTTTTTGCAAGTTCTGTTTGGTCTGTGAAGCCTACCGTCGTGATCATCATCGATTTTGTTTAAAAGAAAGTTTTTTTTTTTCGCGGGCTCAAACGCTTGCCACAGCCTGCCATTGTAAGCGTTTGAGCCCGCGAAAAAAAATTTGAAATTCCTTGCTGGAACTTTATTTTTTTTCACAGTGTTTAGAATGATCGTTGTTATAAGTTCAATTCGCTTGCAGATGCTTGAGGAATTTACTGAAAAATTTATGATTAGAGGTTTGGTCCCGATTAACCCCGCCCTCCACTTCATCATTAGTACTGAGTTATCTGTTATCGTAAGATATGATATAAAGTCTGTAAACATCTCACGTCAGAATGCAGACCTACCGCGAATTCCGCGAATACCCTACACCAACGACTCGCTACCTAATTACCGTCTTTACGTCATCATCCTTGTGACCTTTTGCTGTCGTCCCTCCACATACTCACGCACTGTTCATTCATCGATTTTTGGTGGCTCTCTTTTTCTTGCGCATTCTCCTTTGTTCCCCCTGATTTTCTTGTTTTTCATCGTTTTTTTTTGAGCTTTTCCAAGTTTGACTTTTTTCAGCTAAACATCTAGCAATGACCAGCTCACTGAGATGTGTCGATTGCACAAAATCTACGGTTTACCCGTCGGAGGAAGAACTAAAAGCACATATTGCTGCAGTTCATATCAAAATGTTCCCATACAGGTTAGTGATCAATTCTGCTAGTTTCTGAAACCCTCCAATCGAATAATGCAGTTGCCAACTGTGTAAGTATGGAAAGTTGCCGACAGAATATGCACTGGCTAACCATTACTCCGAAGTTCATGGGAACACGAACAGTTTTACGGTAAGCTTGCAGTCAGTGGGTGACAAACTAAAATCAATTTTTCAGATGAGCGTAAGCTACTCAAATACACTTCGTTCTCAACGAAAAGAATTGGAGAAGAAGTTGAGAGCGTCCATCGATGCTAGTAACTCCCCTGGAAGTACTACTCCAAGAACGGAGAGTGATATCAATGGATATTTGAATGAGACGACATGTAGTCCAGTGAAGTGTTTGGATTGTACGGAAGAGTATCTCTCCAAGGAGAAGTTGGAAGCGCACATTGCCGATGTTCATTTGAACTCGTTGCCGTATGAGTGAGTTTTTAGTGGACATCCGGATACACGTACGACATTTTTTTAGATGCGAGACATGCAAGCACACAATGTTTCCGACTGAGCACATACTCAGACTCCATCACCATGAGGATCACAAATCATACGAGTTCAAAGTGAGCTGATATAATAGAATTAACAGTTCTCAACGATTTATATGCAGATCCTCATGCAATACTCACCGGAGATCGCCGAGGAACGAAAGGAATTGGCGAGAAGACTGGAAATGTGTATGGCGAGTAGTCAAGAAACAACTGCACCCGGAATTGCTCCAGTTGATACGGAACCAAATCGTTCTACCGATCCTGCAGTGTCTACAGTAAGCAGGTCTACTAGAGCAGGATTGGCTGTGGCACATGGGAACTCAAACAGAGTTCAACCTTCACGAACAGTCCAGGGTCCACTCAAACGTGGGGCAACGGAAAGGTCATCTGGAGGGCCAGCAAAACGGGTTCCTGTAGAGCCAAAAATATCTCAAGTCAAAAATGAAGCTCCTGCTGCTTCACCGGTGGATCCAGACATCAAATTAGAAGAACTAGAGTCTGTGAAGTCTGAATACCCGTCATCAAGCATTGAAATGAGCCAAATCAAGGTTGAAGATTCCGTTGGAACTTCATCAAGTTCCATGACGGTCCGTGATGCTGGGTGGCCTGTTCCGTTCCCTTTGAAAATTGAAGAACCCGAAGAAGCTGAGGATAGTGATCAAGACCACGAGGAGCAGGTAGATCAAGAAGAAGAGGAGGAGGATTCAGAAGATGAAGACGAAGAAAATGTTCCAGACGACTCCGGCAAAAGAAAAAGTTGCTTAGGACACAATTTGACATGTAGTCTCTGCTCTATGACACTCACGTGTCTTGGATCAAAAATTCCTCATGCTTGTGTCCACGAACAGTTCACTCTCTTCGAATGCAAAGTATGCAACAGAAAGTTCACTGGATATCCTATAAATGATGTCCAAAGACACATGAAGACAATGCATAATATCAAGAATAAGAAAGATGTTCAGAAAAACATCAAGGATCACAGGAAGGCGATGAGGGCCAAGATATTGGAGTTGAGGGACAAGTGCTTCCCAAAGAAATAACTGTTTTTTATATTTTTATCTGCTTTGGTTTTTGGTTTTTGTAATAAATCCGTTTACTTTTTGAAAAGCCCTGTTATTTCAGAACAAACGGGCAAAAAACTGATAGTACCGTTGGCATGCGGATGTTTAGAGTCCTATCTGCCGGAAGAATAGTTGTACGAGAAGTTTTTCATATAAAAAAAGGAGTTTTAGCTTTGGTGGACACGCACAAAATTTAAAAAAAAATTCGCGATGGAGTTTCATAGTACCGCGAAATCATTATGACTTGTAGAGTCTAGAAGTCTCAAAATCGAGACTGAAGAATCTTATCTGTTTCATTTTAAACTCTCTAGAATCTGAACTAACTCAAAAATTCAGTTGTGGTAAGCCATAATGTCAAGTCTGCAATCACCCCTCTTCAAAATCACTGTCCCCAAAAGACTATCTTGCAAAACGAATTCATCATCTCGTAAACACACCAATGAGTGACAGGTGTTCCACTCGACACTACACCCTCTCTCTATTCCCTATGCTTACGTCATCATCATTGTCGTTGTGACCTTTCCAATACGCCTCTCCTCACTCACCCACACTCACCAACAGACACCCAACATTGCTGACCACTCTATCGATTTTTGGTCGTCCTTTTTATTCTCGGGCATTTTCCCTCGTTTTTCCCTGATTTCCTCTTTGTGTCCAATGATTATCAAAGTCCTTTTTAAAGTATAATTTTCAGCTGAACAACCAACAATGGAGGATCGCCCGCTCAAATGTCTCGATTGTCTGGAATCTGAGGCGTACTCGTCGGAAAATGATTTGGAAGCACACATCGCTGCAGTTCATATCAAAATGCTTCCATATGGGTTGGTTTTTTTTTGAATAACTGATAGTGATTAAAAGAGTAGGCAGAAGATGGACATCCGGATATACAGACAGACATTCCATAATTTCCATTATTTCAGTTGTGGAGTGTGCAAGTACGGAAGGTTTCCCACGGAAAGCGCATTGTTCAATCATCACTCCGAGGTTCATGGGAACATCAGCAACATTACGGTGAGGCATAAATATAGGTCCACCCAATTCACATTTATTGATTTCCAGTCAGTGTTTCACGGCTCACGAGAACTTCCCACGCAACGAAAAGAACTAGCAAAGAAACTGGACAAGTGTATTGAGGCCAGCAAGTTGCCGGAGACAGGAGATCCCCCGCCAAAGGTGGAGATTACAATTGGTGAGATTTTTATTGCCCTGAGCCAATGAGCAGCATCTTTTGGAATTTTTTAGAAGTGGTGGTACTTTCTTA